GTAATCTTGCTTATCAATGCTTTCTCATGTAGTTTATCCTTTTGATGTCATACTGAAAAAGTCATCATCAAATCTAAGGTCATCTAGATTTTCTTATGTTCTCTTCTAGGATTTCTATTGTTTTGCATTTTACATGTGTCTGTGATCCATTTTGAGTTAATGTCGTGAAGGGTGTGAGGTCTTGTGGCTAAATGCTCTTTGTTTGGATGTCATAATGGGAAATTTCCTGCTACTCAGTGAAATACATTAGTGCTCTAACTATTAAAGTTGCTCAGAATTAAGAGGAGTCAGACCATTTAAGCTTCTCTATGCACTTTAGGATGCTTACAGTATAACAAAGAGGCTAAATAAGAAAGTTCCATTGTAGTAAAATGATGATCATAATTACATTGTTATTGACTTGTTGCTGTCTCACACATATTCCCATTTTAGCATATATTAACTTTTCATATATGTTGTGGGTAGTTTAGCATTATTCAAAAATACTGCCACAGGAATTCTAGAAATGGTATTTGTCCTGGGCAACTGTCCTATCTGGTTGCTGTATGACTGAACCTAGCACAATACTGTCTTTAGTAAGCATTTAAATGTTTAATGAGCAGAATCTGTGCTTACGAGAAAAAATAGGCAAATGAATTAATAACATATAGGGAATAAAACAAAGATCACTAATTTGTAAGGAGAATGTTATATCTTAATACTTATTTAAAAACTTACTAATCATAAGAGTTTGATAGTGTGATGGATATTTATTTATAAAATGTGACAGAAAGTTTATATATGTATATGTATAAATGAATAATGAAATAATTTATAGATTAAAAATTTATACTTTGTATTGATACAATGAACTGACTCTTCCATGTCAGTTGCTCAAGTTCATTTTGAAAATCTTTGGAAATAGGAAGTGAAAAGGTGTTCAAAATTTTGCATCTTAGCTGAGGAGCTTTCTGATAAAGGGAAAAATGAAGTTTGGCATTGGAAAATAGTTTCTGGAGATTATCAGAGAGTTCTAGTTTCCATTAAAATTAATATAGCTGAGCCACATGTCATATTGAACTATATGGCCTCTTTTTCAGAATGTCACATCTGAGTTCTATTTAAAGTCAGGACACAACCACTGATAACAAGGCCTGTGAACAGAGCCAGCTTTACAGCATCTGTTGTTATGTAATTCAGCCCCTTTGGAGGGAGTAAATGTTATGGGCCTGTGGTAGGGAAAAGAAAAAAGTAGATACCTTGAAGGTGAGGTTAGACCATCAGGCCAAAATAACAAAATAACTTTAAACTGGGTGGCTTATACACCACAGACATTTATTTCTCATGGTTCTGAAGCTGAGAAGTCCAAGGTCAAGATGCTAGCAAATTTGATATCTGGTGAGGGCTCACTTCCTTTATAGGCAGACTCACTGTAACTTAACATGGTGGAAGGGGCAAGATCTCTTTACTAAGGGCACTATTCCCACATCCATGAAGTGTAGCCTTCCTGACCTAATCACCTCCCAAAGGGTTCCACCTCTGAATACTGTCTCTTTGGAGGTTAGGATTTCAACATAGGAATTTTAGGGGTGGTGAACATGAACTTTTAGACCAGAGCAAGGGATGTACTTAAGAAGAGGGCATCGGGGCTTATTGTATGTTCCACTGGAAGTATAAAACTACTAGGAACTTTCTGTTCTGGTTTTAATCTTACAAAAGAGTTATCCTCTAATGTGCTAAGCAAACACATGACTAGGTTTATGCCACTGCCTAAAGGAAGACTTGTGGGTATAGAGATGAAATTCTGCTCAGGGATAGGGGGATGAGATATGGGGATATAGGTAGATAAAATTGCCCCAGAACTGATGATAGATTCTAATGCATGGAGGCACTAGAATCATAACCTCTGGAATGTTATCATGTTATCTGATTCTTGCTAGAGCCAGTGACCTGAATTCACTGTCACCTTTAGGAACATCACATGAGACATGAGTAATTGAAGAACTCTTATTATGCAAAGAAGTTGTATTTTTAAACAAAATATTTCCATAGATAACACCTGTATTTTTGATTTGATATGGGCCTTTGGTCCTTTGTGTAAACTTCAGTATACTTTATATATACTTAGATTTCATCTACATTTTTTAGATTTTATGAAACCTGGAAGAAATAGCCTAAAAGTTCTTTCTATAATTGTATGTGAAAATAATGATTCATAATTCATAATTTGACAGGATACTCAGTGTTTGCCAAAATTATATATGTATTTCCTCCATATTCTAGTGCTTAGAACCAATCATCATTGTAATGACTAAAATAAAAAAGCATTTTTTTCTAGTGACTCAGCTTTTTAGAGGGTGGTTTGTGTGTTATCTAGATGAGTGTTTTTTCCTTATGGTTATTTCCGGGTTTGCACATATACAGGAAGGTTCAGGAATAAAGAAGGAAGGATTAATCTATCGTGTATATGCTGCTTTTAAGTAATAAGCTCTGGCAAAAACCTGCTGATGAGGGAGGAGTCAGTAACTCATTATTGAGAGATAGTATTTATCTATACCGTTTCCTTTAGCTCCATCCCTCACTTTCCTTGGCTGACCCTAATTGAGAGTAAACTGTTTTATCATTCATTCCAGAAACTGTATTTTAAAAAGTGCTCTTGAAATTACTAATCCTGTAGTACAAAAATGGTAAGTGATATAAACAGGTAAACTGAATGACCTGGCCAAAGTTACCTGTGACTCAAATAGGTGGAGCAGGAATTCATCACATTCTTCCTCTAAACTGACAACTGTTGCCAGACTTCCCTGACATTTTATATCTTGCCCTGCCTCATATTGGCCTCTAATTTATATCATTGAAAGATTATATTTTAAAATAAAAGTTATCTAAGAAAGTCATTGCTGAGCTAGTGGTCAATAAATATAAATAATCTTTATTTCTTTCTTAAAAATTAGTTACATGCTTAATTTTAATTTTTTGGTGGAAATCTATTTTATTTTTTATTTAAAAAATATTTTTAGTTGTAGATGACACACTACTTTTATTTATTTTTATGTGGTGCCGAGAATCGACCCCAGTGCCTCGCACATGCTAGGCAAGTGCTCTACCACTGAGCTACAACCACAGCCCCAATTTTTCCATTTTTTAAAATATTTAGTTTCAGTTGTAGATGTACACAATATCTTTATTTTATTTATTTTTATGTGGTGCTGAGGATTGAACCTAGTGCCTTACACATGCGAGGCAATCGCTCTACCACTGAGTTATAGCCCCAGCCCTTATTTTTTCATTTTTATTTGTGCATTATATTTGTACATAATGGTGGGATTTACTATATATCATACATGGCCAAATAATTTCTTTATTGTTATATTCCTGTTAAGTAATGCTTCCGTTATTAGTTTTTCTGTGCATTGCAAGAATGCCATCAATAATGGAATTACGGAAATACCTGTTAATAGGGAACAACTAGAAGAATTAATTTGGAATAGTTATTTCTTATAAATTGGCTCATTTCTTTTCTGGCTCAGTGATGAAAGAAAAATAATGTGATCATGAAGGGAGAAAGCCTTCCTTCCTATATAACTTTCAGTTAATCCACATATCAAAAGTTATGAATCAGGGAGAAGTAATTGAAGGAAATACTTAAAGGTGAAGCGCTGAGACTGGTATTGTAGCTCAGTGGTAGAACACTTTGCCTAGGATGTGCAAGACCCTGGGTTCAATCCCTAGCATTCAGGCATGTCCATGTGCATGAAAACACACACACACACACACACACACACACACAAGATCAAAGCAATAGTTTATTGTCTATACTAAGATGTCTAAAGATCTTTATGTGAACAAAGTATAAAAATGTAAAAACATCTGTTGTTTGCCAGACCAAATCTTCATGAGCCACTGTTTTAAAATTCTGAATCCTGTTGAACAGCATTCTGAAGGCTATTAAGTGGAGACTTTTGTCTTTTTTATTCTTAACACACTCAAGTGTATGTATAAATCTTTGGAATGTCAAAGCCACAAGCTTCAGCTTTTTTTTTTTTTTCTGTTGCCATCATGAAGAGGAGACCAGTAAATTAGTAATGTTTGATCATTTCTCCTTTGTTTGCTTTTCCTTTGGAGCTCTGTTATAGAATAAAGAATTGGTTTTTTATAGATGAATTATTAAATAGGAAAATCACTTTTTTAAGATATTGTTTTTTTGACAGTGATTAATGATTAATTATCCCAGTTTGCACTGGTAGAAAAACATTATTATAGTATTAAGTTACTACATGGCTTGGCACTGTGTCAATGATCAGCAAATAAAAAAAAAGAATGCATAATAATTTAGACTTAAAACAAAAATTGTATTCTGAGCATGGTGTCAGACACATTTCTTTTTTAGTATCTTGGAGTACAGAGACACAAATATCTTTTAAGTATCTGTTACATTAACTTAAATTTATTCAACATTAGATTCTGAGGTAATTTAGGGAAATTTGGTACATGTAATTTTTACCCATCCTGCTAAGTTAATAGCAATCAGTTGGGTTTGAATGAGTTACCATAAGAACAGGTCAACTATTTGGATTAGTTACCCTGCACCCTTTAAATGTGGCAAAAACAATATGGTTTTGAAGCTAGCTTTTAGCATAAATATCAATCTGATGAAAAAAAATGAAAATTATCAATAGGAAAGTGTTCTTTGAGCCAAGTGAACTAAATCCTAATGAGTAGATTTCTTAAACTGGCTATTAAAACATAACCAAATAGTACCTTTCTTTAACAAACGTGAAACTATTGTTACGGAAGTGGTGTTGATATAGAAATGTGACTACATGGTCCAAGGAGGACCACCTCACCAATGTGAGTCAAGTTCTTTGTTTCTGGACCTGTTGTTGTTTACCCTCAGTTGGGGCTAGGAGTAACAGATTGCAGGATGGAATAGTGATGTATATGATTCTTAAAAATGTTTCAAAGAACACTGAACTCATATTGGCATTCTTATAATCGTTATGTTATTCATTTACTTTCAGTTTGATTAATAAGCTTAAGCCTGGAATCATTAAGAAGATCAATAGACTGTCCACACCAATAGCAGGTTTGGTAAGTAATAAATTATCTTCAGAATGAATTCCTTTTTAAAAAAATGTTATTTATAATCAACAAATAATTATTGTACATATTTATGGGATATAATGCAATGCAGTTCTGGTGTTCTGTTGCACAGTAGGATGACTATAGTTGATAATAATGCATATTTCAAAATAGCTAGAAGAGAGAATTTTGAACATTCTCACCTCAAAACTAGATTTCTTTGTCTTTGAAATGTAAAAAAAGGTCGGCATAGATAGTTCTTTTATCTGTAGTTAACAGTAGACATTAAGTTAGCGATATTTTCCTGGAGAAAAGTGTTTTTGGTGATATCCTCTTTACACCTGTAGTTCTCTTTTCTATTTCCCTCCCACCAGGAGGTTTTTATTTATTTGTTTATTCATTTGTTTGTTTTGATTTTTGTTCTTAGAGCATCATCCATTCCCTTTCTTGGCTTCTTTCCTCCACGGATTGCCTTTGTGTAGTTCAAGTTCTCTGAAGCCCAACTCTGCTGGCTCTGCTTTCTAGTTGACCACATAGTTCCCTAGACTAGCCGGTGTTTACCAGGTGGCTCTGTTTCTACTGCTTCTTACTTATGCATTAATCCCACTCAGCACATTGATCTTAAGTGTATTTGTAAAATATTCCTACTAATGTCCTCTGTGATGCTAGACATGTTGGACAAGTCTTTGTCAGAGTCATATCATCCATAAAATGGCAGTGATGTTTCTCTAGATTTCTTCTAGCTTTAAATTCAGGATTTTTGTGTATGAAAAATACCCCTATTGTTATTTAGTTATTCTGATGAGAGACCAGTAATAACGTGAGCTCTGTGTTTTAAAATAATTTATAATAAATACCAATTGATGGATAATTTTCATAATGTTAAAAATTCTTTAAAAAAACAATGCTCATGATAGGAGTTGGTTAATTTTTTTTTCTCAAAACCATTAAGTTTAAAGCAGCTAATAATTGCAGTGTAGAAACAAACTGATTATCTTTGGGATATTCACTGTGTTTATATTACATTCAAGGAACTTCTCTTTGGCCATTCATGTGTTTGTAGATGTTAATGGCATGAGTAATTATAGGTGGAAGCACCAAAATTTCTGAGTTTGCAGGAGACATGAAAAACTTGCCAAAATTTTGACAAGGATGAGTTTTGTAAAATGTTTATTATTGGAAAATATCTGCCTAGGAGAGAAGGAATGAAAAGGTTTTTTTAAAATAGTTTTCTTTTGAAATTATAGAGTACATATAAAGTTCCAGCACAGTTGGTTCCCATATTAATTCCTTCCTTCTTACGAGTTGTCTCTGTTGCTTATCTATTATGAATGGCAGCTGGCCTTTTTTTTTGGTCTTAAATGTAGTTAGGTCAAAAACCTGTCATGGGTGTGTGAGTGTGTGTGTGTGTGTGTGTGTTTATTTATTTATTTATAGTCTTCTAATATGTAGTGAGTCAGAGATATTTTTTTTTTAATTTTTATTGTTGGTTGTTCAAAACATCACATAGTTCTTGATATATCATATTTCACACTTTGATTGAGATATTTGTTTTTAAAGGGATAAAATTAAAGAAATTTGGTATTTGGATTCTTTCTGGCAGGAAATATTCAGTGTAATAAAATAAAAAATCTTTTTATATGAAAATAACTTTTCTAAAGCACTGCTGTGCAAATTAAACATTTGAATTATATTTTTCACATGGTTTGAGTTATTGTTAGATAGTTTAATACTTTGATTATAAACTGTCATTTCTTGTATCAATTGCATGCATTTTAAATGAAATTAGCCTTTACATATTTGTAATGCTTGAATTGTGATGGTTTTGTTGTTCTTGGCCATTGTAGGCTTTATTCAGTTTTCTGATTGTATGATTAGATGCAAGCACAAATGTATTTTATTTTTAAACCCAGAGATCTCTACAAGTATTTCTATTTCAAGCATCAGAAATTCTATCCAGTTTGGATCTTATCTTTAGTAACTAAAGTGGAATGAATTTCCAGTATACTAAATAGGATGATTTTCTAAATACAAGACACTGAATTTTCAATTGGATGTTAGAGCATGGAGTGACTTCAGCTGTAGAATGGGCTAAACTCAGTTGGTTTGAAGTTAGCCTCATTTGACTCATTCTGGTACTTGTCAGGATGATTATAAAAACTTTTGGAAGTCTTTGCGTCAAGTGTGAATAAAAGCGTCAACATCTATTTCGAAGGGGGTTGTTACAAGAATTAAAAAGAATAATATATATCCCAACATACAGATATTTAACAAACGTTCTTTATTTAAACAAACAAGTGAGGGCCTACTAGGTTGAGGATTTTTTTTAGTTTATAAGGATGTGTTGGAGGAACAAAGATAGATATGAAGTTTGACTCAAGTAAATTAGCAAACGAGCAAAAAAGCATCACAGAATAAAATGTGCCACAGAGAACTAGACTGACATGTTTTGGAAACTTGTGAGCACTTGTAATGGGACTGTGAATATTGATCTCTAAAATTCCTGAAGAAGGAGTATGTCAGAAGCCTTAAATTTTTTTAAAATATTTTTTTAGTTGTAGATGGACACAGTATTGTTGATTTATTTTTATGTGGTGCTGAGAATTGAACTCAGGGCCTCACACCTGCAAGGCAAGTGCTCTACCACTGAACTACAGCCCCAGCCCAGAAGCCTCAATTTTTGACCCTTATTTAAGATGAATGATCTGGCCAATACTACTAATTTTTGTGTTCACAACACACAACATGGGTGGCTGATTCATATAGGAGAGCAAAGATTTTTCTTTTCTTTTTTAAATATTTATTTTTTTAGTTGTTGTTGGACACAATACCTTAGTTTTATTTATTTATTTTTATGTGGTGCTGGGGTTTGAACCAGGGCCTCGCACGTGCTAGGTGAGCACTGTGCCGCTGAGCCACAACTCCAGCAAACCGCCCCCCCTCCCCCCCCCCCCGCAGCAAAGATTTTTCTGATGAATTAGTGAACAATATTTCCATTGTGAATATTAATGGGTTCTAGAATTGGGTAACCCCTCCCCTGCAATAAGACAGTTTTAAACCCCAGTACCTCTTAATGGGGCTTTGTGAATAGGATGGTTGCAGATGAGGTAGTTAGTTAAGGTGAGGTCATATTGGAGTAGATTGTGTTCTAATCTTATATTACTGATATCTTTATAAAATGATGGCCATGTGAAGACTTACATACAGGAAGAATGCCACGTGAAGACGAGGTATCGATTAAAATATCTCTAATGCAAAGAACACCAAAGATTGCCTGAAAACCACTAGAAGTTAGAAAGAGGAAAGAAAGACTCTGCTCTTTCAGGTTTCATAGGAAGCATGGCTCTGCCAACTCCTTAAATTTGAATTTCTAGCTCTAGAACTGTGAGACAATAATCTCTCTTTGTTTTAAGCCAGTTTTGGTTCTTGGAATGGCATCCCTAGAAAACTAATACAGATATTGTTATAGTTAACACTTCTTACATTTAAATAAACATAGATTCACAGGAAGTTGCAGAAAGCCCCAAAAGGCTTTCTGTACCACTTTCCCAATGTACCATCTTTTTTTGTTTTGTTTTTTTAAGCTGTAGGTGGACACAATATCTTTATTTTATTTTTATGTGGTGCTGAGGATTGAACCCAGTGCCTCACGCATGTGACATGATTGCTCTACCTCTGAGCCACAGTCGGAGCCCCCAGTGAATCATCTTGCATAACTAAAGTATAATATATCAAAACTAGAAAAATTAGATTGATAGAATCCAAAGGTTTTAATCACATTTCAACAGGTTTTACATAGAGTGTCTGCTCTTTGAGTAGCAAAGCACAGAGATGATTTCAAGCAAAGTCAGGTGAAGAGGGTTTATTTTGAAGATTTATCTCATGTCTCATCATGAATTTAGTGTTCTGCTGTAAGCATGGCAGCTGTATTCTACCCAATTACTTTTTTCTTCCCCACTTCAACAGGAGACATTTTTTTTTTTTTTTGATGTTTCTTAGTTGGATCTGAATGGACCAGGTTCTTTCCAGGCTACACATATCACAGGTCACTTAAGATAATTGTCTTGACCAAATGGGCTGTGGTCAGGAGTGCTGGAGCATTCAGCTCAGTGTGTGGGTTGAAGTAGGTTCTGTGAAGGAAGTTTGTGTCGGGTAGATACACCAAGATTAAGTTAAATACAGTAAGAATTTCTGTGTAAAGTTGTAAGCTAGGAGGTTATGATGGTCCATATTCCCCCTTCAGTCACTCCTATCTTACTCTCTTTTTAGCTACATCTTTTAAGTTGTTCTCAACTACCTGTCATATGTATTTAACTTTTATGTTAGAGCAATTGATTTAACTTTACATATGGACCTATGAGAAAAGCATGGAATGTGCCTTGAGCAATGACAATATGGAGAAACGTATTTATATGCTTTAAAAATATCTTAAATGCTTTGCTTGAAATATTTATGTGATAATTTTCTTTGGGAGGGTAGTAACTATATTCTATTAGATCCTTTCTTTAGTGATATGGCTTTTCTTAGTTTTAGTTCATAAAGAAATACATTCTCCTTAATTTTTCTATCTTTTCTGTTCTTCACAAAACCATGTTTTAAAATTAATTAATCAATTTTATTTTTTAAGCCTAACCAAAGAGTTTGTGTCTTCCAAAAAATTAGCTGGTACTACATGTGGGTGTGTTCATCATATCGAAACCTAAAACTAAAACTTTATTTGCAAGTAAAAAAGAAGTCCAGTGTCAAAACTAAATCCCGAGAAAAAAGGCAAGATACCCTGATGGTCAAAAGAGCTGTTGAAGCAGAAAATGTTTGCCATCTGATATGTTAGTGTGCATGATATACAATATGTGTGGAAATATCAAGGAAGTTAACAACCCTAAGACTTATAGTCATTTTGGACACCTGATGATTTATTTGTATTTAGGTAAAGCAGGGTTTCTCAGCCTCAGCGCTATTGTGATTTGGGGACAGATTATTCTTTTTTTGTGGAGTCTGTCCTCTGCATT